CCCCTGGCCACTTTGGGCTTCTCATGCCTTTGGATCAACAGGTCAGGAAGGGTGTCACTGTACTGAGTGGTGTGATTGATCCTGATTACCAAGGAGAAATTGGACTGGTGTTATATAATGGAGGTAAAGAATATGTCTGGAACCCAGGAGATCCCATAGGCCGACTTTTAGTGCTACCATGCCCTATGATTAAAGCAAATGGTAAATTACAGCAACCCAATCCGGACAGGACTTATAATGACCCAGACCCCTCAGGAATGAAGGTCTGGGTCACCCCACCAGGTAAAAAACCACAGCCAGCTGAGGTGCTTGCTGAGGGCAAAGGCAATACAGAATGGGTGGTAGTAGAAGGTAGTTCTACCTATCAATTATGACCACGTGATCAATTGCAAAAGTGAGGTTTTGTAATTACGTATTTTCTTTTTATGTGCTTATTGCATGTCTTTCCTTTGTTCAGGTATGATATATCAGATACAATTGGACTGTGTTTTCATTTATATGTATAATAGATGATTGATGATAAGTATAAGTGTGATTTCATCAATGTCCGTAAATTATATAAGTATACACGGCTAAAGAATTGTATATAGGTGCCAGGTTGGCAAGGGGTGGATTGAGATAGTGTATTGTGCCAGCCTGGCCAATAAACACACGTGGGATTAATTGAAGGGCGGAGGTTCCTTTAAGGCCTGGGCTTTGCCACACAACTGGAATTTACATCTTTGAGCTGGGGGCTGACTGTTGGGTGACCTGCCTTGCTGGTTGCTGCCGTGCTGGGATAGCCTGAATCTCTCTACAGAGGACTACCGGGCGGCCCTCAAGACTTGAAGGACTGCCAGTGTCTCACAACTGTCTAACACGTTTGAATTATACTGAGCCATCTGTACTGTTTATAATTTAACTATTTCTTGTCATATATCTATCTGTATAACTTCTTTATAATTTAACTGTTTATTTCTTGTGCTTATCTAATTATTAGTAATCTGGTTTTGTCTCTCTAGAGAACCCTAACACACACGTTAAGCTATTGTTTTACAAGAGAAACCAAGACATCCTGTAAACCATTTTCTCCATCATTTATCCTCTGAAGGGAAGCTCAGAAAGACACACAAATGTAACACAAAAACAAAACACATGCACACACACTGGTCTAAGCCACATTATAAATCCAAACATTGGTGTGGGATTATCAGTGGAGAGAAGGAAATGTCTTTAAAAACCCCTCAAAAAGCAAGGTTATTAAAGATGATCAGCTGAAGTGTTGCCTTCACCTACCCTTGTTCACTCCGAGAACATCTAGTGCATAAAGGGTCCAACAAGCAGGACGGCAGGTAAGAGCCCAGACATTCAAGATCTGATTTGCTAGACAAACGAGTCCTCGTTTGAAGACCCCCGTTGGCTGAGCTAGAAAAGGTCTCTGATTTGGTACATGACTTAAACAGAAACTGGTTCTGGGGAAGAGCACTAAGACAAGTCCAAACTTTTAAAACTTCTAGGTTTCAACAAAACGCCAATGTATTTGAACTTTCAGGAAGGACAATGTTTAGATGGGCAGAACCAGGACACATCAAAGACTGGGTAATTCTCCCCATGCTTAAGTGACTCCAGGAAAAAGCCATTCATGTTTACTGGTGGTAATACCATTTCTCCACTAGCTGGTACTACAGCGTGTTTCTGGTTTGATTCAAGGACTTTAAAAAATGTCTTCTGTTACTCAGTTGTTGACAAGCACAATGTTACTCAATTTCTGCGTTTGATATGTTCCCCATTGTTGATTTCTAATTTTACAGTATTGTGATCTGAGATCTTTGGTAGATTTCACTGTTTCAAAGGTGATAGAGGCTTGTTTTGTGGCCTATCAGATGGTCTGTTTCCCGTGCACTGGAAAACAATGTATACTACATTGTCGTTTGGTTGCATTATCTTTTAGTTCCATTTTTCCAGGAACTTTTTCAAACTCTTCGTATCTGTTACAATTTGTTTATCCATAACAAACATCTGGGATGGTCCCACCCTAAACATTTCTGTAGAAGCATTTGAGCATGTCTTCTAATTCTTTTGGGTACATACTTTAAGAGTGGAATTGCTGGGTGCAAACGGTCATTAATTCTATGTTTCACATTTGGAGGATTCCGCCCCCTCCCCCGCCAATGGTAGAACCATTAGTATAGGATTCAAATGTCTATGCCTCCACAAAATCAATCAAGTTTTAAAATTTAAAGCACTTCATATGAGTTTCCCTAAATAGAAGATAATAAATTAAAGGCAAGTCCATACACAAGAAAGTTGGTCTCCTTAAAAAAAACTCTACACCGTGCAGCACAGAGTGACTATTTCTTTATCACAGAGGTTAACCTTAAACTCTTATTTCGTAAATACTGGAAATGCAGTTAGGAGAGTGCAGAGACTTGCTCAAAGTCACTGCTTGAGCCATTTCTCCCCAGGCAGTGCCAGGAGAGGAGAAAATATTTTAGTATTCTAAAACCCTACCTTCAAGTTCACACATCTTTCGCAGGATGAGTAAGACTCCCAGGGCGGAGAAAGCGATATGGCTTTCCAAGTGCGTCAAGTAACAACAAGGACAACAGTCTGGTTAAAAAACAAAACAAAACAAAAACCAGCACCTGCTTCCTATGTTACGGATTACATGGCCATTTGAAACAAAAACATCTATGGCTTCCACTCTCCTTATCTTCCTGTCTACTTCTAAGCGATCCCAGGCCCACCCACGCTTCAGGACAAACCATGGCAGTATACTCCAATCATTTCTAAAGGCCTGGCTTCCTGCTTTCAAGGATTTGTGTCACAAACTTTATTTACAGGCTGAGGAGGCACAAAGGGCACTGGGGTTCTCAGGTGGCTGCCGGCTTCTCGGGGGAGAAGGTGAAGGCCTCTGGGTTGGCTTCCTGCTTCAGCACGCCGGTCAACAGGAACTCAGGGGAGAGGACAGGCAGCCCAGCCCGGAGGGGGATGGAGCACCGAAGGAAATCCTGGGAGCAAGTGATTACTACTCTCTGAGGCTGAGGAGAGACAGAGCGGAGCAGGATGTCAGGTGTGAAAAAGAATCCTAGACAAACAAGTTCAGAACCCACCGATCAACCTTAAATACTTAAAAAACTCACTGCTATGGAGTTGATTACAACTTATAGCAACTCGATAGGGCAGAGCCGCATTGTCCCTTCTGGGTCCCCAGGCTGTCAATCTTTATGGAAGGAAAGTGGCTGAGTCCCTACGCCACCAGGGGTCCTTAGCATCATGCAAGTATACCTTCTTGGAGAAAAACCAGAGCAAGTGGACTGCGCTTGGCTATGAAGTATTCTTGCCCAATGAGTTGAAACAGAATTTATTCAGGCTTGTAAATACAGGCATGAAATACAGGCTCTCACACATCTCCCCTCATTCCCATCCCTGTCCATACCATAGGTCCTTCCCTCAACCCTCTCGTGACCCTCTGCTCCATGTGTGCCTCTATTTCTCCTGCCAGTCTTTCCCCATTCCAGCTACCTCTAACCCCCTACCTTGTAGGACCGAGGCATACTGGGCAGGACCGTGCCTCCACAGCAGCTGATGATCTCTCCCATCTGCGGTGGTGGTGGCTGGACTCCAGGGGTCACATAAACCTCATAGCCCTGAGGGGGGGAACACAGACAACAGCAGATGCAAGCTCTCAGAGGGCAAGGGCCTGAGGGCACTCTCTGGAGGGAGTGTGGAGGCACAGGCACGGGGCAGAAGGGAGACTAACCTCCAGCAGCCTTTGCTTCCGAGCCCGGCCCAGGGCATCCTGAAGGCTGAAGCCAAAGTTCTTCTCCTGCTCAGGATCAGTCACTATATACTCATCCGGGGGCAGGAAGCAACCAGCTTTGCGGGACTAAGGAAGGGAACAGTCAGCATAAGAGCTTAGCCCAGCCCTCACTCCGTTGTTTTCTCTAGCAATTGTAGGGAGCTTCTGAACTATCTCCTAAATGAACGAAAAGATTGCTGCTTCATTATCCTTTCCTGTCTTCCCAGACACGTCTATCCATCTACCACTGCTTTCTAGAGCGCTGTGAGCAGTCTTCTCCTGTCACCATCCTTATTGGTCTGCCATCCTCTTACCTGGTGCAGCCAGTCTAGGGAGAGGATGGGGATGCCTCGCCCCAGGGCACACAGGAACTTGACTGTTCGGCGGATTCGATCTGTGACCAAGTGCGAAGCCTCCGTCACTGAGTGGGCCAGACTTCCGCCCAGGGCCAGCACAGCCCGCTCTCCCCGCGCATCCACCACGCCTGTGAAGAGAACCTGTGGAGGGCGTCGGCCTGAGCTGATGCCAGCAACCTGTGCCAGCTGTAGCTGGTTCTGTAACTCCGGACACCATCCTCCCCCAACTGCCCATCTCCCGTAAGTCCCCTGCCCCTTCTCACTTACACTGGGGGCTGTGGACTGCTGGCTAGGCTTGGGTCGCTGTCGGACGCTGCGGCTCTGAGTTCCTTTGGGCTCCTCCTCCGTCTGCTCTCTCTTCCTCTTGACTGGTCCTGGCAGCACTACATTCTAGGATTAAGAATGACTGTGGTAGGGATTTGTCAAGTCCTTCCTCTTGGCTTCTTGGCTCCAGCCCACTTACCTCTTTCTTCCCTGCAGTCTCTTTTTGTGGTTCTTTCAGGAACTCTGTCTGCTGAGGGAACTGCCCTCTTGGGGGCCGTTTTGGAAGTGGGGATGAATCCAGGGTAGGCAAGGTTCTCTTGCGGCTTTGAGGGGCTTTAGGCCGGGGCTCTGGGCTCAACCCAGAACTACCTTCCTCTTCCTCCTCTTTGATCTGGGAAGTACGAGTGGGTGTCTCAAGCAGCTGGGGGCTGGCAGGGTCAGGAATGGGCCTATGGGACTCAGCTGCTCCTCGTCTTAGGCGACTCTCAGACTGGGATTGAGGTGCCGGTGTGGAACAGGGCTCACAGACAAGGGGAGCTGTTTTAAGTGACTCTTGCTTCCTGGCGCCCCTTTGCCTCCTGTTACGGCTGGCCTCGGGGGTGACAGGCTGGTCTATGGGGCTAGGAGGCTGGAGCTCAGCAGCTGTGGGTACAACTGGTTCAGGGGTCTTGACAGAAGACATGGGTGCCCTTCCCCGAGTGGTGGATAATATGGGCTCAGGGTTGACAGGCTGATCTGCGGGTTTGAGAGGCTCAAGATCAGGCAATCCGGGGGCCTTGGCAGAGGACCTATGCACTCTGGCCTGAGAGGTGGGCTTGGGGATGACACACGGGTCTTTTGAGGGGACAGACTGGAGTTCATGTGCTGTGTGTCCAATGAGTTCAGAAATCGTGACAGAGGACCTCTGTGTCCTGCTCCTAGTGGCCCGAGCTGTGGGCTTGGGGGTGACAGGCTGGTCTGTTGGGGCAGGAGGCTGGAAGTCAGGGGCTGTGGGCTCAGTTGGTCCAAGGGTCTTACCAGATCTGCTTGTCCTGCCTTGAATAGCACGAGATGTGGAGTTGGGGGTCAGAGGGTCATGTATAATGGTGGAAGGCTGGAGCTCAGGGGTCTGGGGGATAATTGGTTCAGGGGTCATAATAGAAGACCTACATGCCCTGCTCTGAGTGGGCCTGGAGACGACAGGCTGGTCTGCAGGAGAAGCCTGGCGCTTAGGGGCTGTGGGTTCAATTGGTTCAGGAGTCTTGACAGACCTACATGTCTTGCCCCGAGTGGCCTGTGATGCCTCAGGGGTGACAGGCTGGTCTGTGGAGATGGGAAGTTGGGCCTCGATTGGTTCAGGGATTTTGACAGAGGACCTCTGTGTTCTGCTCCTAGTGGCCCGAGCTGTGGGTTTGGGGGTGACAGGCTGGTCTGTGGAGATGGGAAGTTGGACCTCAACTGGTTCAGGGGTTTTGACAGAGGACCTCTGTGTTCTGTTCCTAGTGGCCCGAGCTGTGGGCTTGGGGGTGACAGGTTGGTCTGTGGAAGTGGAAGGCTGGAGCTCAGGGGCTGTGGGCCCAACTGGCCCGAGAGTCCTGGCAGAGGACCGCCGTGTCCTGCCCATGGCCTGAGACAGGGCCCCAGGAATGAGAGGCTGGTCTGTGGAAGTGGGACACTGGGCCTCAGGGGCTATGGGCCCAACTGGTTCACAGGTCCCGACAGAGGACCTATGTGTCCTGCCCCAAATGGCCTCAGATGTAGGCTTGGGGGTGACAGGCTGGTCTATGTGGGTAGGAGGGGGCGGCTCATGGGCAGTAGAGGACACTGAAGGTTTGGCCCTAGACAATCCCCGGGCTCTGACTTTAGACTTTGGGTCCAGAGGCTCTAGCTCTGGGGGCAATGGAGCCTCTAGTGTGTTTATGCTCTTTTTTTGCCTGGTCCTAGGCAGAGGAGCCTCCAAAGACCGAGTGGGGGAAAGGGGGGACTGAGGTACAGGACATTTCGGGCTCTGAGGGATAAGGGGGTCTGGGGGTCTGGCTGAGGCTTCAGGCACTGATGGAGATTCCTGTTCACCCTGGGAAGAAATGGAAACAAGTGAGGAAGGGAAAGGGGAGAACACTGTGGCTAACATGTGCTTGCTGACATTTCCCTGGGACCTCTCTTCCCAAATTGGAATTTCCTGAGGGAATGGTCCTCTCTCCCAGGGAATTCTCCTCATGGCGCACGCACGCACGCACGCACGCACGCACGGTGTTCTCCACATATGGTGGCAGCCATGATGAGGAGAGCTGGGGCACCACGGAGGACTTTTGTTCTTAGTGAGGTAGGGGTATTACGGGAAACAGTGGGTGTGGCACACAGGGATAGAAACCAACACAATGAAGCCATCTGCATGGAGCCCGAATGTGAGCGTTCCAGAAGGGCTTCAAGGCTGTGACCTTCAGGAGGACATCAGGGGATAACCAAGGGGCCCCTAGGTGGGCTGAACTGCCTACCTTAAGGTTAAGAGTTGAGTGCTTAACTTTTGAGCCACCCAGGGACTCTAGAAACCCTCTAAGGACGGGTGACAATGGGAGAAAATGGAGACTCTGGGGAACACAGGGCAAGTAAGGAGACAAAATGCAGGCCAACAGAGACCAGTGGTGAAAGCAGGCCTCACCCTGGCAGGCTTCCCAGCAGGCGGCATCTTGGAATTCATGCTGCCTAGACAGAAAGTAAGGACACAGGCAGTTGAGCCCGAGCCACTGCCGCCAGTTGCTCAGGGTCTGATGATCAGCGGGGGCCATGGGATCCCTTTGGATTCCTCTACCCTGACTTACCTCTCTGCTGCCTTCTGGGTCTCATTGGGGCTACCCTTCTTCTACCCGACTGGCTGCCAGAAGCTACTGGTGTTGGATGTGAGGGCCGCCCTCTCCGGTCCTGGCCTCCACCCTGGGTCTCCCTGCTGTGTGCGCCTAGGTCTTCCAGTAGCCCTGTGGGTTCCGTGACGTCTGTCCCTGCTAACTCCTTCGCGCTCTCTGGTGCTGGTCTTTCGGCTTCTCTCTCAAACATTCCTCTTGCAAGGGCCTGCCTCTCTAATTCTGTCTCTTGCATTTCCACGGATGTCCCCATTTCTACCTCCAAACGATTCCCAGCCCTTTCGGCATGTGCACGCTTCACCTTCGCTTCGGACTCTAGGCTCTGAGGAGCTCTAGCTAACACCTGTCTTTGTCCTCTATTCAGCAGCCCCCTGGCTAAGTCTTCCTTTGCGGTCCCATCTTCTCGCTCTCCTTCTGGTAGCGGTTCCTCAGTCCCCCTCTCCAAGGGCTTTGTCTCAGGGGACACCCTTCCTGTTGTTCTTCTTGGGGCACCCAGCTTTTCCTGCTCAGCCGGCACCTCTTGGCCTTGAGTTCCCAGTGACTCTGTGTGATGAACTGGGCTCTCTGGATGCTGGTCTAGTGGACTTGCCCCACCAGATGGGAAGGGGGGACAATTTCCATGGGCCTCAAGGGGAGTCTCTGAGGCCTCTGGTGCTCTTGGACAGAATGGCTGTGTAGGTAAGAGTTCCCACGGCTCATCCGGAGTACCTGGGCAGAGGCACACAGGACACAAGGTGAGAAAATGTGGAAGACATGTAAGCTGAAAAGATAACACACTGACAACGCTTTAGATAACAAAGTCACGAATGGCAGCTCTAACTGGGATCTTACAAGGGAGTGGTGAGGCGGTGGGTGGGAAGTGGGAAGCTGGGAACAGTGGTGACAGCTCTACCACTGGTCTCCGAAAGCGAAGCCGACACTGTCATGTGCACACTCCCTGAGCTGCTCCTGAAAAAGTGAGCTGGGTCTATTCAGGCTGGCCCCCCGCCCCCCCCCTGCAACAGAGAAACACTGGCCAAGCAGTCAAAGGGCTGAGAGACAACAGGACTAGTTGCAAGGTTGGGAACATGGAGGAGGGGAGTTCCCTGTACCTGGGGTCTCAGAACTGTAACAGGAAGGGCCAGGTTCTTCTTGGCGTGGCATACTCAGGAAGTCCTGGGTAGGTTCTTCCTCCACACTCTGGATGGCTGCACGAGCAACAGTGTTCTCAGCACAGCTCCTTCACAAAGCCCAGCCCCCGCTCCCACCCGCCTCACTCCAGCTTTCCCACCCGCCAGGAGCCACCAGTCTAGTCTGCTAGTTCCTACGGGCGCCCGCGCCCAGTCAGCAGATGGCCTCACCTCCTACGCTCGTAATCCCTTGGTCCACAAAGCACTGGGTAGCTTGTAGGTACAGATCTTCAGAATCTAGTGAGGAGAAACAGAAGAAAGTACAAAACCGAGTTTGATCCTCCACTGTTCTCTCCCCCGCCCAACCACTACAACCGTTCTTTATTTTAGGGGTCAAATAAGCAAGAAAGAGAGGCCAGCACATACCGTCAGGGCTGTCTTTAGACTCTTGAGTCCCGCCCTCATGTGGGGCTCCCTCTCTGTGTGGCTGGGAGGGATCCCCTGGAGTGCCTGTGTCCACCACTAGGTCCTGCTTCACTTGGGCCACAGGCGCCCCATCCTGGGTGCTGGCCCCAAGAACTCTCTCTTGCTCAAGAACAGTTGCAGCCCACTCTGTTCCACCATGCCCTTTTGCCGGGAGTTGGATCTTTCTTACATGTGCCAACTCTGAGGCTGTAAAAGGGTGGGCTTCTTCTTCCTCTGTGTGCCCTATAGGCATCTTGGCTGGGCTCCCTTCGGCTCCCCTGCCTGTTGGAGCTATCCCTTTCACAGGTACCTGCGGCGTAACTTTCTCCTCTGTTCCTGGGTTGGTGTCCACTGTGGTGGAGGCTTGTCCTCTCTGCAGGTGGGCTCCAAGTGAGTGCCTTTCTCCCACGTCTCTGTCACCACCCCTGCTAGGAGGTTGGCTCTTTTCTGAATGTGCAACAACAAGGGATCCATCCTCAGGGAGAGCCTGTCGCTTTTCCCCTGGGTGCCTGTCCTCCTCCGCATCTGTGTCGCTGTCTCTCCCAGCGGAGGTCTGGTTGTGCTCCAGAGGGATCACAGGCAGGGCCCTGGTTTCTTCCACATCTGTGCCTCTGGGGTTTGTCGTAACCAGGCTCTCTTTAAGACGTGCCAAGGTGAGTGCCGCCAGGACTTCTTCCTCGTCATCCGTATCGCTGTTCACCACTATTGAGCCTTCCTGGCTTCTCTCCAGAGGGACTGCCAGTGGAGCCTCACCCTGCTCCCCCCCATCTGCATTACCACCAGCCTGGCTCTTCTGCAGACGTGCCAAGGCGGATACCCCAGGACCAGGCTTATCAACCCCATAGAAGATCTGCTTCCTCTTCATCGGAACTACAACTGGGGTCGCAGGGATCCCCTCTTCTTCCACATCAGTATCACTGTCGATGAAGTCGGAGGGCTGGCCCCTTTCCAAAGGGCACTCAGGTGGCCTTCCCGGAGGCCTGCTGTCCTCATCCACATCTGTGTCACTGTCCTCCCCAGCTGGATGGCTTCTCTCCGGAATCACTCTGACTGGAGCCACCGCCTTGCCTGCATCGCTCTCAACCCTTACAGCACGGGCTCTTGTCTTCCCTGAAGGCCGATGCTGGTCAAAGTGGCGTGCCCCTGCGACCCCAGCCGCCTCATCAGCCCCAGGCCACTCTGCCTCGGCAGGAGTGCCTCTGTTGGCATCCGAGGCAGCCTGCCTTGTTACTCGCCGCTGCCCCTCCTCGTCATCTGTGTCACTGTCTAAATTGAAGGCTAAGGAAGCCCCCTCTTCATCACTGTGAAGGGAAGAGAAGAGGAAAAGTCAGAACTTTCCCAGAAGGGATACCTCATTCAGTGATGAGTGTCTGGAGCGTAGACAGAGGCGGCTACTTAGTTCTGGCTCTCTCGAGATAGTTTCACTGCTGCTCTACTAGGCAGCGCGGAGGTGCTCACTGCACATTCATGCTAATCTCTCTGTGAAGACGGTCGGCCCTCCAGCTCTTGGTCCCTCTTCCTTTGAAGTCTCCCTCCACACTCACCTCTCTGGGACTACTGTCGGGACAGGGGAGAACGTGGTCCTTGATACTTTGTCCCTGGTGCTTTCAGAATCTGTCAAGAGGAGAAAGTGGGCATTTGTGTACTTGCTGGTCCCGTCTCCTCCCTCCCCTCCCCTCCCCACACCACAGACTTACCTACTTCTTCCTCCGAGTCCTCAGCCAACAGAAGCCCCTTGGGTCGCATTTCTCCCTGGACCCTGGGTGTCTCCTCTATAGTTAGAGGGCCCCGGGAGGCATAAGGCAGGGGGGCATCCAGGCGATGGTACTGGCAGGGCAAGTCAGCAAAGAGAATCAAGTCCTGGTCCCGGAGACGATGCCTCGCCCCGGGGCTCAGGGCTGTAGGAGGCCTCAGGATCTGCGTGCCATTGAGGCTCCCACAATCCCGGAGGACAGGGGCCTTGTTGCAGGCCAAGATCTCAATCACTGCATGTTGTTTAGAGATGGATGGATAAGGCAGGGCCACAGAGCAGTCAGGCATTCGGCCTACCACATTCTCCCCAAGGTAGAGCGGGAAATCTACGAATCAGAGAGGCAGATAGGTTCCACAAGACTTGAGTCCTGGCTGGTGTGTTCTGAGGAAAATCTTCCTGTGAAATGTTCCACTACTTTCTTGGTCCATACATGCACTAGCACAATAACCAGCCCTAGGGCATCCAGGCACTGAGGAGTACATGGGATACACTATTCATGCTCAGTACCCACAGAGCCACACTGACTTGTTTGTGGAAACTGAGATTTATTGAGCACCTACCTTGTACCAGGTAGAAGCAAGTAGCAAATGTTCACTGAGCACTTTTTATGTTCTTATGTTCCCAATTCCAATCACTTGCTACAGATAATCTCATTTTCCCAAAACTCACGAAGTGGGGACAGGAGATGAAGAACACAGTCTCGTGGGCCCCTGATTCCATTCTTTCCGCCCTGCCCATATGGAAGGTTCTGGTCTTCTCTGACTGCCCTTTTCTCTATCCTTCCCACCTCATCACCTACCCTCAGTGCTACAAATGACAGAAAGCAAGCATTCTGCCTTGGAGATGCCAGAGTAGCTTGTTGGTAAGAGACAAGTTAACATATAAACTGCCCATGCAAATGACATTTCTGAGACGAGCAGACTTCAAGTGTTGCTTCTATGTCTGGCATATGTAACCTCTAATTTGTAAAAAGTCTCTTGTTGGAGTTAATTGTCTTGCTTGCTAATGGGTAGCTATGGTCAATAATATTCATTAGCCACACTGACTTTTATTTGAATCTCTTCACCTTCTCCTACCAAAGTAAAACTACCCTCAGAATCAGAGGCACTAGACCAGAACAATCAACTCAGCAGTAACCTGTTCTCTATTCTCACAGAGCTCTGGTGGCACAGTGGGTTACATGTAGGACTGCTAACTCCTAGGCCAGCAGTTCAAGCCCACTAGCAGCTCCTGGGAAAAATCTGAGGCTGCTTGCTTCTTTCAAGATTTGCAGTATCTGAAACCTTATCACTGAGACAGAATCAACTCGAAGGCGATGGCTCTCTATTTCCAGAAAAAAGTTGGAGGTTTTTTTTCCCGGTCTTCCTCCTGTACCTTCCCAAACCCTGCTCCCCCAAATGAAAGGCTCTATATTGGCACTAAGGAACTCAGAAATTACAATGGGTCACTCAGCTGTGGATTAAAATGTAATTGGTTCAAAGGCGTCAGCCAGTCTAGGAACCCCCTGGGGTGGTTCAACTGTCCCACAGGATAACTATGAGTTGGAATGGGCTCAGTGGCACACAACGATACAGATATTTCTGCATATAATACCCTCTGACCTTTTTCTGGTCCGTGGGCACTGCTGAAAATATGTAGTCGTCCCAGGGGCTCCAAGGTGCACCGCACAGATTCACTGGATTTCTCTGTCTCCTCCTCTTCTTCAACACCCCAGTTAATCACCTGGGTGTCCTCCATGATCTGGAAGGGAACACACGATCGTCATTTCCATCATTAGCTCACACACACAAAGGGCATCAGAGAAGAGGCTGATAGTGGGTAAAGCTGGGTAGGAAGGGAAATCGATACTTTGCTTTTGTTCTGTTATCCTTCGGAAGACTTTTTCAAATATTTCGAATGAGAAACAATCCCTAGAATTGATGTAAAGATTTATAATCTCGGAAACCCACAGGGGCAATTCTACTCTGTCCTACCGGGATGCTATGAATTGGAATCAAATTGATGGCACTTTAACATTTTTGTCATGCCCCCCTCCCCCCTCTAACTTTTAAATGTAGACTTGCTAAGTTGGTTTCATGTCCATGAGTTTGAGAAAGACCATTTAAAGGGAACTAACCTCTGTGAACATGAACTATGGGTTGGGCCCCATGTCAAATATCAAGCATAGCTGCCCTATGTTTAAGAGAGTAATGCTAGCATATTTTTAAAAATGTGAGCATATTTTTAAGACAGTAATGCTACATATTTTAAAAAATCAGTAAGCGGAAAGGATAAGAATATATATTCAGGTTGTGCGGGCCATGTTTTTACATCTTACCCTTAACACCCCAGTGTGATCAGGTAATAAAAATAGCTGACATACAAGGGAGCTTTAGAGAATTCATGGGAAAGTGGAATTCAAAGATAATGGATTTTTCTCATGAATTTTTGAAGCCTCTTTATATATATATATGCGCTTGCTATGTGCTAAGCACTGTTCTAGTTACTTTAGATTGACTAACTCATTTAATAGAACCCTCAGAATGCGGGCAATGAATGTACAAATGTGCTTTACACAATTGATGTACGTATGGATTGTGCTAAGAGCTGTATGAGCCCCTAATAAAATGATTAAAAAAGAAGAAGAACTCTGAAAGGTAGGCACTATTTTCTTTCTTTCATAAAACGTCACTGTGGCAGACAAATGGGTTTATGAGCTTGCCCAAGATCACCCAAAGACCTTTCCTGTTCAATAGTCGTTTGCTGGCTGTCCAGGAGCCCTGGTGGTGTAGTGGGTGGGAGTTGGGTGGCTAACGACAAGGTCAGTAGTTCCAAACCACAAGCTGCTCCACAGGAGAAAGACAAGGCTTCCTACACTGCAGAGCCTCAGAAACCCACCAGCTCTACCTTGTCCTCTAGGGTAGCTGAGACACAACCGACAGAGTTCGAGTTGAGCTTTGAGTCATGACATTGAGCTGGAGTTGCCTTTCCATGTCCAAAGGACAATAAATCTCAGCAACAGCCTCCACTACCCTCAACGTCATATCCAATGTTCTCCCCTTCCCCTGGTCCTTCTCCCTAAGCACCGCCTGAACGCCCTGCCTTGGCCTCCACATCGGTCCGTCTCCACCCAGATGGCTCCTGGCCCAACTTCTCTGCATCCCTTCAAATTTCAGTACAAATGTCCCTTCCTCAGCCAGGTCTTTCCAGGCAGCCTCCCAGTTCTCCAGGGTTCCTGCTGTGTCCTGCGGGGGGGTCCATGGACTCTTGCCGGCCCTAACATTCTCAGCATCTTGTAACCATGACTACTGTCCATTTCTGCCTTCACATGCCCCCTGAAGGGCTGGACCAGCCGCACGGGGCCTTTCCCCCTACGACGCACCATATGGATTCATAGGGCCTGGCTGCAGTCGCGTTATGCAGGACACATGGTCCTCGTGGAGGCTACATGACCGAACCCAGGCTGTAAAGAACCGATGAAAGGAGATGGGGCTCAAAACAGCAAGGGCTGCCCCCCTGGCGCGGAAGCTGTTGACCCGTAGTGTCCACTCTGCATGACCGGCCTACTCGCTGGGTCCCCACGAGCCCCGGCTGCAGTTCACAACGACACCACCTTGGAGCCACACCCCAAGTGCGTTCCCTCAGGGTCACACAGCTCCCAGTGCCTTCATTACCCCGATTCTGAGGCAGACGTCAGGCACGGGCGAAGACGAGAACCCCCGAAGTAAACACCGAGTCGCCCTCACCCGGTCGCCCTCAAGGCCCGCCCCTCTTGCCCTACGGGAGGGGGAAGGAAAATGGCACCCTGAGGAGCTGTGGGCAAGGCCCCCAGAACTCACCTAGTTTGAGTCCCCGCGCGCGCCACCAGTAACGGCCGCGACCCGGGCGGCGCGAGTGCGTGCACCGGAAGAGAGCGCCTTCGTTGATTGGCTCTCTCGGCCGTCCTTCACGGCTTTGCCGCACGCTAATTGGTGGGGCTAGTCCCCCTCCCTCCTCCGCGGGAAATGGCTCAGAGGAAGTCCCGCCCTCACCCCTCCCGCCTCGCAGTTCAAAAAAGCGGCCAGGAGGCCGAGATCAGTTACGACGGCGCATCCTGATTGGGCAGTTCGATGGACAACCCACTGCCGCTTTACCTCCCGCCTCCCACTTCCCGCGCAGATTTCCAAACGGCGACCACGGAGTCCGACGCCACCTCCCGGCTACGGCTAGAGGGGCTGCGTCATAGACGTGGCCCGCTAGAGCGCCCTGCCTCGGTCCTCCCAGACATGGTGTCCGCTGACTCAGGAGAAAGGAGTTGCGGCGTGCCTTCGTGGCTGCAGGCTGCGGCTCGGACAACAGTTCGTAGGCGTGGCTCCGGAGGACGCCTCACAGCAATGGAATTCCATTTCCTTTTAATTTGGTTTGTTTTGTAGCAGTCATGCAATTCCTGGGAATACATTCCCGACGGACATTTTGAGGCCATGTTCCCTAGGCAAAGGACTGTTAGATGTACAGGTTTGTCCGCATGTTTTAAAGGGTGAGAAGAGAATAAAATCATTTTCAGCAATTTTATGAAGCATGCAGAGAATCGTAACAATTTGACCTGGGTATAATTTTAGAAAGTCCTTTCGCATTTTCATCATCTTACTGAATTTTGATCACAACAATCGCACAGATGTCGATTTTACAAACCGGGCAACGAAATGTCCGGCCTCAATTCCTACAGCTAACGTAAGGTGGAGACAAACGGAAACAAGTTCTAAATTCTGAGCCCTCTTCATTGCCACAAACTAACTGATTTCATTGTGCTTATGCCCCGTAACATGTAACATTCTTACTTATTTTAAACATCCCTTTGAGGAGGAGTAGATGGACCGGAAAGGAGTCTTACATAGCCTTGGTGCTCCATTAGTTAGAAAGTATCTGAGAAATGTTAGTCCAATTGAATGTGAGTTAACAATGACCTTCTCTCACAACGCTAGTACAGGGCTTATCACATTCTTTGTTTCATTAAACTGCAAGGACCTGGAGGCCAAGGAGCTAGCGCATCCTGTTTGCTAGCCCTTGCTTTGGTGCCTAGGATCTATCAAATGAATGCATCCCCAGGATTCACGCTGCTACTCCGACCCTTCCAATCTCCCCACACCCATCACACACCCACTCTTTATTTTTCCATTCTGGGACCTGGGTGAATTAAAAAGCCACTGCACTGCCTTCATGGGATCACGAGGTGTCGAAGGGATCAGGTATAAGGCATCATCAGAACAAAAAATCTTACCATAGTGAATGATGGGGGGAGTGCGGAGGAGAGACCCAAAGCCCATTAG